AATTCGTAGTAATTACGAGGAGCTCATGCTTTATCGCGAATAAATGCAGTAGCACTACTCGTCCTTGATCGATTGCAATCAATTTCAAGAAAATATGATCAATATATTTTTTACACTTTTTGTGGCACTAGGTAAAGAAAATTGCAGTTGCGCGTGAATTATTTAGTTTGATTCGGCAAGCTATCTAAAGGCTCGTGAAAAGGGCCGTTCGCGCTGTGATTTGCGTTGCATTTCTGACCGGGAGGTCGTTTGCACACGTTCGGTGGCCTATTTCATGGCATTCCTTGTGTTTTCGTACTTAAGAGGGAAGACGAAGAGGTCCCCACCTTTCTCCCATTCTGGACTCACGCCGCTACACTTTCATCGGCGGGCAAGGACGTCGCCTGCCAGTGGTGCGAAGACTCCGCCCACTCCAATGTCCCCCCATGAGACTCATTGACGAACTCACGGAGCCGCCTGACTTCTCATTTCCTCCGAGACTTTCGACGGTAATCGGCAGCGTGAGAACTACGCATAGGAGATGCGGCTGTCTCCTTCACAAGTGGAAAATGAAAGATTTACTAAAGTGAGATTGCGGCGAAGATCAGATCATCGATCGCATCGTAAACAGCTGCCTCATATATTCCTGCACGGGAGGAACAAACCAAATTCATTCTGCAACTCTTAAAGCCGTACGATGGCTTTCGAATAGCATGAAGCTTTCAATGATAGCGCATTTCAACTTTTGCTTTTTTTTTTTACTTTTCTGCGATGCTAGTAAATTTTTCGTTCAGGGTAAATGGGGGCACAACTTAAGCTATTTTCATCTATTTTCATCTCACTCTGCAATTAAAATGTATTATCCACCCTTGTGCATGGAGTTGCAAAAGAATGAAAACCTAAAAAAAAATGCGTTCTCTCGCCACGCTGGAATGATTTTTTTTTTCCCATCGCAGGGAGGGAAAAAATGAAAAAGTTCACGTGCCCTGTCTCCTCCTTGGTTGCGAGCCTTGATTAAAAGTGAGTGGTTTTCGATCTTTCTGTTATGCACTCCTTTATGAAAGAGACTTGCTCGCGCGGCATGCGCGAGCATGCACCACTCCGACTGAGGAGCGGGAGGGGATAGCGAGTGTCCAGGTTTCGCTTTCTTCCGTCCTTCCTGCAGCTCGCCTCATTATTATTGAATAAATAATTATTTAGTTCTTGAGACATAGGCTTCGGGATCGAATACAAGCTTGCACATACCGCGCACCTTTCTCCCTCACAATCGTTGAGCATATTTCGTGAAAATTCTAAACTTCAGCGGCAGCAAAAAGAATGGCCAGAACTGAATTTTCCTATATGAATTCCGTCGGTAAATTTTAACGATAGAATCATCTGTAACCATCGCAGCACGACGGGAGACTGAACGCTGACAGCATTTTTACACAAAAAATGACCAATCTTGCCCGACTTCGTGAAAGATGCCCGATAGAATACCGAGAGAGACTGCTCGTGCCTAAGAGTTCAAGTTTTCAAAGCTGTAATACGAACGACTAGAATATCAAATAGTACGTGTCGTCCTTGCCAAATCAGAAATTGGGCAAACAAATATGAAGCTGTTGTGACTTACGAGGAAGTAGGTCATGATGACGGGCTGAATCGAAAATGGGAGGTTGGTCATCGAAGACTGGTCATAGGAGACTGGTCACTGGGGACTGCTCATCGAGGACTGGCCTTCGAGAGTCCACACAATAGTTACCACATTGGGATCCACCCTCCCACCAGAAAACTGGAAAAACAACTAGAAACCAAACGAAATGCAAGCGGACCCAATTAAAAGCTATGGAAGAATCTCCCCCCTCCCTCAGAGGTCCCCAGGAATTACGTCATACGAAATATCGATAACATCCATTTTTCTCACTTTCACCAGTCATATTGCTCAATTCCATCACTTTTTTTGCTCTCTTCAAGATGCACTCCCAACAATTACTTAGGTGAAATCCAGTGCCGTTGCTTTGTTGGTCTGTCTGTTGCCTCATTCTTCTGATGGATAGGAATTTCTTGCAATTAATTTTTTTTTTTAAGAAGGCATCGTCCCTGATCAGCCTCGTTCCACCAGAATCTGGCCGTAATGTACGGCGATGTGGAAGTCCTTGTTTTCATACGCCTATGGGCTTTGCGGAGGAATATCTCGAGGGGTGTAAACGAATTACACAGTATATCATCGCACAATTCCTCAATTTTCCGACGAGGGTGCATTCATTCCACAGGTTTATCAGTCACAGGTACCGATAGTTACGGGGTGGGAGAAGCACTGCATACCGTGAGTAGTACTGTAAGTACTGTGAGAAGTATCTGTCCACAAGACCCACACAGCACAGTGATATCCCAGGGATGTCCTTAACTGGACGACTTGTCCCCTGATCTTTATAGGATATCTTGAAGAAATCTTCTTTCGGACGATTTCGGACATCTCGTAAGGGATGTCTTCGGGATATCTAAGAGACGTCTTTTAGACATCTTCAGTCGATATCTTAGAGATATCCCTTTCGGGATATCTTTAAGACATCCTTAGTCGAACGCTTCTGAATATCCTGGAGGGGATATCTTAAAGACATCTTCAGTCGAGCGCTTTTCGAAATCTTGAGGAGGATGTCTTAGGGATGTCTTTAGGCATCTTCAGTGCTCTTTGTCGCCTTCAGACAGGTGCATAGCTTCGACGGTAGATGTCTCCCATGAGCCCTGATCTGCAACCTCAGATCTTTTCTGTCAAATTCATCTACTTGATTTGTCCTGAGAAAAAGTAAGGATTTTCGTACCATACATCAGGAAAACTGCTACCAGGGACAAGTGAAAAAATTGTAGTCCGAATTTTAATTTATTCCGCTATATTCTATTTAATGATGTCTGATCGGCATGTCTGGATACAACCATCTTGGTTGAAGACCTGAGCCCATAAATAAAAGTCTTCTCGTTCGTGACCCCTCGTGTAAAGGTGCTAAACTTTGTCCCCTGGAGAAGTGTCTCCTACGATAGGGCCCCCTGTAAGAACAGGGTTTTCCACCCCATATTCGTCACTCTTCAATCTGTCAAGAACTTAGGATTAGGTATTCCTAGATTAAATAAAGACATCTTCGAAAGTAGTGGGTTCTTCTGTGCGGTAGGAAATGAGTCCATTGCGAATTGGAAGGCGCCTGCAAGTACTACCTGGGACTTCTCACTTGTCCCTAGGGGATATCTCTGGGACATCCTTCAGATATATCAATACTTGTGCTGAAAAAAAGAGACATCCTTGGGATGTCATTGGGCCCAGACATTTTGATATCCCAATCCTTGTCTCTGGGACATCGCATTTGTCCCAAGGGGATATCTTTGGGATATACCTGTGCTGTGTGGGGACGAACAGAAGCGACTCCACTCACTTGATTCTTCCATCCGAGGCAGTTTCGTCAGCGAAATAAGGATTTCTGCTCGTAAGACAAACTTATGAGATCCAGGAAACTCTTACAATACCTTAAACACTGTCACTGAAATTATGGTGCGTGGATAGGCGCCTATAAGATAAGAAATGCGTTGCTTGTTCCACTTGTGAATAGTTACAGTCATTATGACAAAAGGAGATCTAATAATTATTCAGTGTGAGGGATGAGCTTAGCGAGGGCAAGGGGCGAAGAAGAAAAGGGAAGGTGGTAAATTGAAAGAGATAATGGACCTTTTCTCATCGTTCTAACAGCAAAAATTTTCACAGCAGTTTAGATAAGCTTTAAAAAAAAAGTGCCTCCTTGACTCATGGATTACCCCGTCTCCTTCCGCATGTCAGGCATTACATTATAGCTTGCGGCACTCAGGGATTCAGTTCAACCTCGACAAGCTGTGGATCTGCAGTTGCAAAGGGAATAGTGCCCAGCATCTGCCACACTCTGGAATGTTTACTTGCTAGAATTTTTTATGTCTAAGTGAAACTTGGAATTACTCACACCTGGTTAGTTGTAACCTACTCTAGCATATACAGGGAGAGCAAGAAATGTGTATACCGGGCGTTGCTGTCCTTTGGATGGCAATTTTATCCAAAATGGTGCTTCTATATTAAAACACAAGGCATGTACACTTGGAGCGCAACTTCAAATAATTTAATCGAATTGATCAAGATAGCTGGCAAGATCAGGACTTGCTTTTGCTCCTCTGCAATCAACATTGCCCAATGACAGCCATGTATTAACTAAACAGAGCAGATGAGCCAAGCCATCTGCACATAATACAACTAAATGTGATGCAATCTGTGGATGTTGACCAACACAGAAGATACATAGTTTGTTCCCTCCCAAAAAACACAGTAGCGTTTCCATGATGACAGGCCAAAGGGGAAAAAGGTAATTAATTTATTGTGAACCGACATGGGATGTTGTAGTTTATGGTGGGGGGGAAACTGACATTCACGGAAGGACAGGGTATCCATGTATTCAGATCTTGCAAATTCCTTATGCATTTATTCAGACGCCTATGTAAGTCTCATTTCCATTCTTATAAACTGTATTCCATTGGACACAAAAAATTACATGCAGATTCCTGGAGGATTCTGTTTGACTGTGCAGTATAAATAACATGTAAGGAATCATTGCAATGCAAGAATTAAGGAAACGAGGAATGATTGTAAAGTATCGCAAAGCAGGAGTGCATGAAAACGATATTGTGGATATTGTGTCATGTGCTAGACAAGGAAGAGGTACATGTACTTACAAAAAAATATCAAAACTCGCTGGTCAACTGAGCTCAACTTGACCCACATGGCAACCCTGACCTATCATTCCATCTCCTTTGCCCCTCCTGATTAGGTCTCATTTGTGGCACCTCATTTAACCCATTGACGCTGGGAACCGTAATATTACGTTTTTAAACCCATAGTGTTCTGGAGTCGCTGGGCGTGAATGTGTTAATCCCCTTCCTCCTCAATCGGCTCCCTTCTCCAACCTCATCCATCAGTTCTTTTAAGCAGCAAGTGCTTTTTTTAAACAGGGAATGAACAATATAATTCTAAAACGATGGGTGTATACATCCTACTGCACCACTCTGTATAATGTTGGACTGCAAGAACCCAGGATTGACATCCTTCTAGTAATGTCACTTAGTCCTTCATGTTGGTCCTGGGCCATCCTCATTCAATAACACAGTGATGCCGAGACATAATGTTGTATTTCTATGCTGCATCACATCAAGTGTAGTCACGAGGCACATGCAAGGCAGCAGCAGCAAGGACAATGGAATGATCATTCAGACTAATTCCATGATTGTAATATTGGAAATGGACAGAACACAAACTTATCAATATTCAGGGAAGAACTTTAAATTCAAATTTAAAACAAGAAACCAGAAAATTCACAAGAATTGCCTGTTCTCTTTTCATTCTTATGGAAAGAAGATGGATGTTCCAGTTGAAAAATGTGATCTTTGATTACATGTTAAAGTCACTATCACTGAGACTCAGTGCTGCAATTCCTAAGTTTTGATAAAGTACTTTAACCTGTAGGTCATTTTTCAATAGAAGATCCATTGAAGTCAAGCTCACTGCAGATCACAAACTTGCCTGATTGCCCATGGAAAGAGAAAGCAAAGAGTATCACATCAGAGCCATCTCCAGCATAAATATCAATTCTTACATGCAACATTGCACAAAGCAGTTGTTTTAACACATAAAGCCAATTCAGCTTTTCCAGTAGCTATGAGATCAAGCAGAGGTTTTCTGGACTCTATGCTTTTGGAACCAATCATCAGACTTGTCTTTTGCAATGGCCTTGCTAAGAAGTTCATTTCCCTTTGGGTCCACCTTGGAAAGTTCTTGGAATCCCTCATCTCCCACGAAGCAGATCTCATGTCCGTCCTGCATGGGATGGAGTATTTTTGCAATCCATCAACCAGTACATAAAAAAAATAAAATGAGCTATTAATTTCACATGAACAATATATCAGGAAAAACAAACACATGCCCCAAAATGCAAACTTTCAGCATGCAAACCAATAGGAAAATTGGTGACAAAGGCTTTTTCACTTGAGATACAAATGATTTACAAGTTCAACTAATCATCCTACACAAATGAAAACTCTCAAGTTCAACAGGTAGTTTTTGATTGAGTAAGCCAATGGTCATTTAGTTCTATTGTTGAAGTAGAGAGCACAAAAGGACAAAGTCAAATCCACTTTGGAAAGGATGCCTTCTCAATTTGTCTGTCATATACAGGATGGCCCAAGAGATACTGTCACTTCAGTTTCAGGTATTCCAATAAATGTTTGTCCTTTACAGCAGTATTATAATAAGAGAGAATTGTGTTCCTAGCAAGACTGCAAATGTGTTGAATTCCACAAGGAAGCAGCTCTGCATTTTGATAACACCTTCTTATTGAAAAAAAATTATCTGGCTTTCTATTCTACAATGAAACAACTTTTCCCTATCATGACTCACAAATTTAATAAACCTTTTCCAGTCCACATTTCCTGACAATTTCATCCCCAACCAGGTCCAATTTGAATACCCCTGCTCTGGGCGCTCTCAATATATATTATAGGAATTCTTCTCATATCTTTATTACAATGTATACTGGAAACAATGCATACTTTTTACACTCTCTAAACCCTAGCTTTGTGCTGGGGGAGGCCTGACATAGGACCCACTAGAGAAAAATCTATCATCAGGGCTCCTCCAACAGTGGACTGGAAAATGTCAAATGGACTAGCCATCACTTGAAGCATCTAGGAAAGAAAAATAAAAAGACCCAACATCTCATGAACCTTCTAGCACCTGGTGAATAATAATGAAATAAACTGCATACATTTTGATAGAGACTTCATTAAAAAGTTTACCGGATCAGCAAGAATGACCACTTGGACAGTGGCCTTGCCTGGAGTGTCTAAGCTGACAAGTGGGGTCAGGATAGTCTGCTCCTTCTCTTTCATCTTGGCTTCAATATCAGGTAATTCAGATGCTGGGCAAGCAAATGCAATTCTGCCATAAGCTTTGGCATGATCCACTGGCTTCCCTGTCAAGGAAAAATTTTCTTGACATATTCATTTCATTGACTTGGATCAACCATATGTAACACCTGCTCATGAGAAAACAATTTTCCCATCTACAGGGTGCCCAGTAGAAAACCAAAGGGTTGCAATTAGCATGCCTTTAACAACGAAATGATGTTTTCTTTCAACAAGTATATATCTAGTATAATATTTCTAATATATATTTCTATAATATTTCATCTAGTAGAATATTTGTAAATCCTTTGTGAATAATCTTGAATAAATCCTTAATAAAAAATAAATCCTTTGGTTTTCTATTGGGCACCCTGTAGTTGTACTTCAAAGTACAGAAAGCTGCAACGATTATTGGGTTTGCATGGCAAAAAGTAATTCTATTCATTCCACAGTAAATGGGATGTGTTGCACATCAAAGGCTTTCATTAAGTTATGCATGGGAATTCAATCGACTGTGTTTCATATCCTATACTCTGCATGCTTGGTATATTGCAAAATTTTCTCTGCTGAGAAGTCTAGCTTCAACCAGCATGAAGAATGTACAGGGTGGCCGAAAAGTCACCGCACCCCTATTTACCTTCTCATATATTTTTATACAGTTCGCGAATAGAGATCTAAAAAATACCTGTGTGCCCATCTCCCATGCCCGCTCAATACAGCGGCGAGAAAAGGAGCATGTGCGACCGGCTGGACGACTTCTGCAAAAACTCAGCAGAAATCAGTTTTGGCGGTTAACAATGGCAGACACCCAGGGCCAGTCATGGCTATTTAGGATTATTTAGTTATTTATTTAGCAAAGAGACTCCCGAAGCAACACTGCTCTCACAATTCGAGAGTTTTCAGCTGAAAAAAATTCCTGTGTTGCCCCACCCATTTTATTCACCAGACCTGGCTCCATGTGAACCTTTTCCTGTTCCCCAAGATTAAATTTCACCCAAAAGGAAAAAGATTTGAAGACATTGCACAAGCATCAATGAAAATGCGACAAGGCAGCTTAAGAGCCTTTCACTCCAGGACTTCCAGCACTGCTTCCAGAAGTTGCTTTGGGATAAGTGCATAGCATTGAAGGGGGAATACTTTGAAGGGGGCAACAAATAATTTTAATGTACTTACTAAAAAATAAAGTTTACGGATAAAAGTACTGGAACTTTTGATCAGACCTCGTATATATGAAAAGGTAGATAGGGGTATGGTGACTTCTCGGCCACCCTGTATATTCATGTAAATTTGTAGCATACCAATATCAACAAATTCAAGCTTCATCTGGGATGGAGCATAGGCAAGGGTAGCCCGCTTTTCCTTCTCCTCCACAATGGTCAAGCCTAGAAGTCCATGCCAGTAATTGAGAGTTTCAGCCAGATTTGAGGAAGCCAGGGTCAATTTCTTCACTGGATCTGTGCCATGAGTATAGGAAAAAAATTATCAAAGACAAACTCAAAATACAAATGCAAAACATGGTATATAAACATGAACGCTGCATTACAATCTACTATGGCAACAGTATTGTTATTCCTGCAAACGAGAAATATTGTAAAAAAATTACTAAAACAGTGCAAAACAATGTGTGCATAAAAAAAAAGGAGGATAGCAGGTACAACAGGTCTGCATAAGGAAGACTGCCATATAAAATTCTAACCTTTTTCAGGTTGAGGTTCATCAATGAGATAAAAACGATATCCTCCTGGAGCTTCAACTACATTTATACCATTTTCTTCAGTGACATGCCAATTCTCCCTCTTGGCATTCTCAATGGCTTCATGGGACTGGATAGTGAGGCCAAGGAAGTCATTCCCCATAAGGTACTCTTTTATTCCATAATTATAGGTCAATTCCACTACAAAGTGGTCATCTTCTGGGCCATAGCCAATCATTGTCTTGCTCCAGAGGCCATCATAAGGTCTAAAAATGGCATCAATCAGATTAATGAATTATGCTACCTGAGTGCCCTTGTAATGACATGTATAAGGTTTTTCCACATACTACCTCAAGACTTAGTTTCCCTTGCTATTCATTCAATGAAACAGGCTACATTTTCATTGGTCATCAAATTTCTGCTTTCAAGACTCAGAAGGGCTGCTTATAAAAATCAACTCACCCATTACATGCAGCCTTACAGCCCTCATCAAATTCTTCATGACGAAGTACCTGCAAGAAAGATGGAAAAACAGAGCTTGAAAACTTTTAAAACTAGAACTGCAAAATTTTCAAAATTTCTAAAATTTGCAAAATGAAATAATTCATATGCAGTCTTCATATAATTGGAGGCTCACAGTTCTAATTCAGATGAAATAAGCACTTGAATGCAATATTTACCACAAAGTTCTGGAGTTGCTGAACAGTTTCTAATAAATCTTTCACAGCAAGAGAAAGAACAACCTTCATTCCCAGGATGTTGCGATAGAAATGAGCAGTCTTGGTCCTGTCTCCAACTTTAAACACAAAATGGAGTGCTCTTCTCCCAGCCATGATAGAAAACCCTATATAAAAAGCTTTAATTTAAATTGGAGTTGAGCTCAACTCTTGAAAATTCAATGTACAAATGGCAAGAATGATATAAAGTGAATGATAATGGTCTGAGAGCCAACCAAAGGCTCTCTGTCCTCTCACATGGACCTCTGACCTTGCACATTCATGGGATGCAATGCTTAAAAAACATACAGGCCTATATGTCAGTCTCAGTCAGTTAATCTTCATGAAATAAAAAGAATTTTGCTGATGCATTCAGAAAGAAACTCATATAATACTGATGTACCAACAGTATTTTGGATGAGGAGGCTTAACAAGACTCCAGGGAGGATGAAATGAAATTTGTGAATAACTTACAAATGGAAGAGATTCCCCACTTTCTGAATTGTCATTGCTATAAAGTGAAACCATGAATCAGCATGAACTTCCTTCATAGAGCATACAATAGTGAACAAGAGACTGATACAAAACATGAAACAGAATGTGGTCACATACATACACATAAACCAAGGGAGGTCTATTTCACATACTTTTCCATAAACTTTTTGTGGAACTCAGAGCGAATGGCATCATTAATAAACACAAGTCCGGTCTTTTTGTTCATGGTACCTTTGGCACAGTTTTTGAAGACCACATCATCATCCCAACGCCGACGCACACGAAAATCAGCCTTGTCCCCACCAGAGCCCAAGCTTGGCATGAGCGGATTCCCACTCAAGATGGCTTCTGTGCGGATGCGGTCTTCTTCTGCACGGCGTTCAGTCTCTCGTTTTGCTTCTTCTGCTGCTCTCTCTTTTTTGATGCGCTGCAGCTCAGCCATCAGCTCTGCAGTATCATCATCTTCTTCATCATCATCAGGTGCATCATCATCATCATCTCCCTCTTCATCAAGGGGATCATCAGCATCCAGGTTGCTAGATGGGAGTGCCTCCAGACGTGGAAGTTTAGACTCCTTCTCACGGTCCTCCCCTTTTCTCTTCTCTCCACTTCGTTTCTCTTTGGACAACCTTGAAAAATTTTAAATAATTAGCACAGGGTAAGTTATAAGATGAGGACATCCCAACTGTTAGCAAGAAAGCGAAGAAATTGTCAAATTTAGGCTAAAAAAAACTGATCATAGTCCAATCACAGAAATAATCAGGGCTTTTTTCCCCTCACAATGAACAATAATATTAAGTCTAAAATATTGTATATTAGGGTATCTAAGAGTATAAGTACAAACAGTTACAACTGTCTTTGTGATAGACAAAGGAATGATATGCCAACTCCTACAATGGAGTTGGCAAACTATTCATTCATCCTGTGATGTCAGAGATTCAATGTCACTTAAATCAAACATGTGAGGCATGCTGACTAATGCCACAATTGGAAAGATAAGTGTTAATGGTTTTTGGGACTTGAGTTGTATGATCATAGTCCATACATGGCACCACTTTGAAATGTGTCAAATTGGGAAATCCTGCTAAACAAATCAAAACTTGGTATTCAGAGTAGATATTGACTGCTGACATGCGGAATGCTACTGTAATATGACAGTGAAAGGCTACATTCTGCAAATGCAACACAAGTCACCATTCAAGGTCTGAGTGGGAGTCCATAACCTATTCATCACAGTTTGTAGTGCTTTGCAACATATATCAACTATGTCTGTCAAAGAGAGTCTTTTGAAAGCAGCATTTCAACAGTGATGAGGAGTTGCAACTGGGAATGCATGCCACTTAGGAGAGCCATGCACAAATGATTAATATTTCATGTTAACTCACTTCCGCTCTCTTTCCTCAAGATCCCTCTTCAAATGCTCTCTGCTGGCATCGACGGGCATCTGAGCAGGCTCTCTAAACTTCAGCTTTGTGTGGGAGGGGAGATCACGCGAAGAGTACTGTTTAGACAAGGCACTGAGATCAGTCTCTCCTTTGCCTTGCCCGCCTCTTGCAGGCTCGAAGGTTGGGCGAGCGGCAGTCGTCATCTTCTACAGTCTCAACAATTGGTCAACGGGTTTTTGGACCTACGTAGAGCAATCGGGTGGGATTCAGACAATGAAAAATACACGGAGAACGCGATCAAACGCAGCTCAGAATCTCAAACTGACACTTCTCGTCGACCTGAGGAGGAAGACATTTTAAGTATGACGTCACAAGCGTATCGACCAATCATATGAGAGTAGTGCAGTTTTGCTTTGAGCATAGCCTTACACATAGCATAGCTTACAGTCGGGGGAAGAGGATTCCTAGAGAGCATGCGCATTTACAAACTCCTGAGAGCAGACGACACGCGACAGTTGTTGAATAATTTAGTCCAATATCCTCTCAGAGTTTGAGAACCCTGTTAAGTTTGCCGTCACAACCTATACAAGTAAGAGTACAGGATGCATATACTTGCTCAATCAGCAAGAGGTTGAAAGCGAAACAAATGAGAAGATTACAAGAGAAAACAACTATGCCCACCACTGCGGGTCTCCTGCGGAGTGCGGCATGGTTTGAAGGCAATACTATTGTCTAGACTAGGAACGCGAAAGAGGCGCCTCTTTGGATCGTTTAATGTTTGTTTCTTCTCTCCTAGCAAATACCTTGCTCATATACTGAAACGTAATGAGTCAAAATACTGAGGGAGACGACCCACGGTGCAGAGCGGGTACTCGAGAAAACGCATTCCAATTCGAACGATGGTCCGTGAAAGTGCGGAAGAGTCATATCCTGCAGTCTATCTGCAGCAGAGGAGCTAACAAATGTAAGAAGACTACTGGGCCGACAGAAGATGGACAGCATCCTTCATCGCTCTGTACCTTCTGCCGGTGAGGGTAGCCTATGCCTAATAGCAGTATGGCAAAAATTTAAGGAAGATATTTCGGGGGGGGGGGTTTGAACCCCATGAACCCTAAATACGGCCTTGGTTACAGTTGGTTTTTTGTTTGAGAATAGTCTAAATGTGCCATTTGAATCCAAGTCAGACCACAGTTGCAAGGGTTTATGTTGACTCCCAGTCCAATCTTAGTCAGACTTCAGTCTGACCATAGTGTTTATTTTTGGTTCTAACCAATTAGTATGTTTGAATCCTCATTTCTGTCATGGTACCTGGAGAACTCGAACCAGACCAACCCTGAGGCAACTTGTCTCGATGGGAAGGTCAAGCAGATTATTATACGTCTTGATTTCTTCTTCCTGATGAAGTTGAAGTTGGTGCTGCTTGGTTTTCCTTGCCATGTCACTTTGGAATGAGGATGATACATTGCTTGCATTTGCCATTCACAAATCATGGCAATGGAGTCCCTGCGTGTTATTAAGTCCTAAAGTGGTGACATATGCAGTGGAGCAGATGCCCAGTGATGAACTGAACCACAAATGTGACACCGATCTGTGGCTGGCATCAAACTGTTTCAATTAGTTTGGAACAAAAACTACTTACTTAAAGCTCATTACAAGTAAGTTAGAAATGAGTCAACAAATAATTGGACCACAATCTACTGCATTTGGACAGAAAAAAACTGAAGTGAGTGGTTACTGCAGTCTTGCTTTAGTCAAACTGCAGGCAAACAGGAACTGGGGAATGATTTCAAAATCACAGTCCGTTCAAGGTCCAGTCATAGTTCCAGTCGACTGCAGCTGCAACCAAACTGGAACCATCTTAGAAATATAGTTCAACTGCAAATGAACTGCCACTTTGAAATCAACCATAGTTTCTGGAATGACTTTTACCCAACTCCATGGCACTGCTATCAGTGGTGCTGAAGAGACATTTGGTTATTACATTCATCTTTTATTGCTAAGAGGTACTCCAATGTGTTTTGCGGATGGAGCATTATTCTTTTCTGGGGGATGGAACTGCTACTTCACTTGATAAAAGGAGTATATATAGTATAGATATTTACAGAGCATATGTAAATGTAGACAAGTTTAATCCAAAAGCACTGTTGGCCTATGAGTCAACCCATGGATGAATGTTGGAGCCAACTGGAAGTGTATTGAACTCAACTGAAGTATTCTGGGTATTCCTTTGCTGTAATTGAGGAGTCCTCTGGAAAAGGGGCGTATGTGCCCATACACCCTTTTTTCATATCTGTGTCCATGTGCTACTTTCGATGACTTGTCATCGGATAGGGTGGTCAGCAATTGGTTAAGATGTGCATTCAGCAAAGGAGAAGCAGATTTTCCTATGCTCTCACTATATAGCAGGCCAACTGCTTGGCAATTTCAATATGGCTGCCTCCATGAATATTTCATTAGCACTTGCATGATGAACGATTTTGGTGGAATTATTTCATCCTTTCAAACTGAAATTGAAAATGAAGAAGAAACCAGACATGAGGAAAGGGAAAGAAAGAGGCCCAGTCATTCAAGCCTCTGGAAGGATATGAGAAGTTTTGAGATATCCATGAAATAGTTGCAGATTCAGATGGTGAAAACATTAATAATGGATCATTGCTGAGTAATTGGTGAATGAATTGTGTCCTGAATATTCACATTTTCCTTGCTATTTAAGAAAGAGTTTATTTAAAATTGTTGATGCATTTCTTGATTAATTAATATTTTAACAGGAAAGAAGTGGTGAAAGACTCTTTGGAAAAAGTTTCAGCTGTGTGAATATTGGAAAAGGGCATATGTGCATAAACACTTTCTGCCTGCATCCCAGCAAAGTGAGGTAAAGAAATTAATTAAAACCTTATTTTTATTTTGAAAAATGTATGAGATTCCATTTTACTGATAATTAAGTTTTGATCAGCTTCAGATTAGCTAGGGGAAGTTTTTATCATTTATCTCGAATTGCATCTTTTGCACATTGCCCTTTTTCTAGAGAACTCCTCAATTATCCTGCACACTCCATGAAATGCATGCAGATAATTTGTTGGTGTGATCTTACATTTTGTCTCCCATCCTTGTCTGAATGGAGGAGAATAAGAACTTCAAATAGTTCCTACAATTAAAAAGACTGCTTTTTTTCCCCAATTTGTTTAGTATATTTAATACATTTTTTTAAATTGGGAAAAGAAATGTTTTGGTTACCATGTCTGCTGTAGTTGACTCTCTCATTGAAATACTCCCAGGACCAGTTGCCTTTATCCCATTATTTGGAGTATTTCATTAGCCAAAACTACTGTGCAATACTTCTTTCAGCATTTTTGGGGAGGAAGGTAGCTTATTTTTCTAAGGTATTTAAAAATTGTGCTTCAGTTTTATGAAACTCTTATTTTTTTTAGCTATTATTCCAATAACCTTATCCATTTATGCAATATTCTTCATAATGCATCTCATAGTTAAGATATTGGGATGATGGGATGACACAATGGTATTCCAATAAGTTGAATTGACTGTACTCAAGAACTAAAATACTGGATTCTGATAAAATGTTTTCTAGGTCTACTCCTATTTTGATATTGCAATGATAGTTATGCATGTCCATTCTCATTAGGTTTGAGGATGAATTGGAGTTGCCACAATGGCCTGAGATGCTGTTTGCAGATAATTTCTTGCTCTTGAGTCATGAGAGTGGGGTTGCACTTGATTTCAATCCCCTTGATGCTTTGAAGACAGTCAATGCAAAGGATCCACCCTTGGGCCTCCATGTTGCCTCAGCTGGCAAATGGAGAGAGGCAAGGTGTGTCTTTCCTGAATCACTCTACTTGTCAATTCAGCTTTGCTTTATCAACTGCAATTAGGGCAAAGAAGCACAATTGAAAATTGTGAGACTCAATGAAAATTACAAATGTTTTACCTAGTGTTTCAGATGGATCACATCAGTCTTGGAAAAAGAATAGGTGCACCATAAGCATGCTCTTTCAAAGAGATAAAGAAATTGTTAGTGAATGAAGACCTGCATGCTGAATGCATTATGTCATCATTTTTTATATCTATAAAAAAAAATGTATTGATAAGCTAATGAATTGGGGAATAGGAAGATGGTACTTGAAGAATTAAGTCCAAACAATTTAAACTATGGAAGTTCTGTCAATCCTGTGAGACTAATCTAAGTCTTTTCTTTTGTGTTTTGCTCTCTAAGGTCTACCTAATAATTCATTCACATCCATAATTTTCAGTCCATAGTTAGCAGCTTTCAACTGATAATTATGAGCATTAGTATGCTTAACTTCAAAGAGTGCTGCTGGTTGTCATGAGTGGAAATGAGAATCCTCATTTGAATATATATTCTCTCTGGGTTGCAAGTATTCAGCATGTCAAAAGAAATTGCTACCCAAGTAACATGTCAAAAAGAATGATTCTATATGCTGCATGGTCTATTTTCTTTAAATTTGTGAAAGAGAAAGAACAAGAAATTGAAGGAATTTCTTTCAAGGAATTTCTATTGAATGCATAAAAAGTTTCTTATTTCTGCCTGCACAGAAATGTAAGTCTCCTGATGCCTCTATCCAAGCTCATTGGAGGTAACTTGGCAATCTGTAAAATCCTTGACCCCATAAGGTAATTTGGGGGAATATGGCCCTATAAAATGAAATCTGGTCATAACGGCCCATCAAGTTTGAATTTGACTTTTACAATGCTTCTAAAATATTGATTTATATATCCTTTACTAAAACCCAAAAGGCACATGCTAAAAACTGCAAGGACATTGCACCTTTGGATCCTTTCCAAGTTTGTCTCGAGAGGCCATATTACCCATATAGTTGGGGAATATGGCCACTTCTGAAAAAGCAACTCCAGGTTTTCCAGGAACGTGAGTAATATGCTGGAACATGCCGAGCACCTTGAAACATAATAAAGGATGCTTAGAAGTTGAAAAAAGAAACACTAACTGCATCGAGAAGAAGCAAAGAAGTCGACATCGTTACCTGACTCAAGGAGCCATCATGGAAAACAGGATTGCAATGCTTCTGCTTTTGAGTATCATTGCATGTGATTGAGAGACTATATCTAGAGACTGTGTGTGTAAGAGGAGTGATCAAGCATAGATTAAAGTGAACATGTGCTACGAGTGTGAAATATGAGGTGCTTTTTTTTTTTGAGAGGAAGCATTGCAGTTTTTGCATGCATGCATAAATACAGCCAAAAAATTCACAGAATGCCTTTTTACCTTTCTTGTATGAGGGGTGTTTAATTGTCATTAAATTTCATACCATGAAAATTTCTGGAGCTGTCAAGGGGATGTCCAGGTGCATGAGCATATCCTCATGTACTGCATATTTCGTCCAGATGTCCTGTACTACTATTCATATATCCAGAAGTCCATAGTATGATCTTCTGCTGCCTGAGGTCCCACATGAAAGGAAGCTGACATTACCAATTGGTCAGTGCAGTGCTACCATGAAATGAAGGATGTGTCCATATTACCCCAAATCGAGATGGTAACATTCCCCCATATTGACTTTCATGATAAATTGACAACACTGTCTGCAAACGGCAAGCGAAGGGGCTAGCACTTTCCACGATGATTTTGGAAGGACCATAGAATAACTTTTTAACAAATGGTTTCTGAATTCATGCTGCTAGTAGGAAATATACATTTAAGTTGCTCGAGGCTCATTTTAACTTCAGGATCATGCATAGAAAAATCGCATTCATATGACTTTCAAAGCATCGATGTATCCCAAATCACAGGGAGAACTGGATTAATGAGCAGGTCTAAAAGTTTCGACAATTGCATTTACTCTTTGATAGAACTGTTTTTAAGATTTGCCTGAACTAATTATTCAGCCTGTCAGTGGATTCATTGTGAAGGGCCATATTACACCAATGGCCATATTTCCCCAAGTTACCCTATGTTTACAAGAGTAGTTCAGAATTGTCTAAATTGAGGAGTTTTGGAAAAAGGGCTTTAGTGCCCATGCACCCTTTTTCCATTTCTGTGTCCATATGCTGCTTGAGGTGACTTGTCATAGGATAGGGTAGTCAGCAGGTAGTTAAAATGTGTATTTGTCACGTGGTTGGCGTTATGGCACTGTTGAGGGATACATGTGGAGGCTTGTGTGGGTTCGCGCCAAGCCCCACGTGAACATGGAAGAATGTGGTAAACAGGATTTCTACAAGTAAGGTTTAATCCCTTCCTTAAGACATCCCCCAAGTGGAGGTCACCAGGATTTGGGGAAGTTGCTGGAAGTGCTGTTGGCTGGAAGTGAGAGAAGACTTTCGAGACGTTCTTTTGAGAAGTGGAAGGTCGGCAGGGGAGAATAGCTTAGACTTTCGAGACGTTCTGTCGAGAAGTGGAAGGTCGGCAGGGGAGAATAGCTTCGTTGAGAAGTGTTGTAACGGCGGGCGTAGATGGCACCGTCTAGTAGTGTTGAATCAGCGGGTATAAATGGCTCCGTTGATTAGTGTTGAGCGAATGCTCCACGAATGCCCCGAATATCCGTAGACCTCCACCCTTTAAGGGCAAGTCTGGGCGGAGAAAGTAGTTCTACGAGCCAAGGTGAAGGGGCTGGTACATGCCCCATGGCGAGGGCGAAAAGGGGTGAAAGTAAGAGCATCAGGGGGCAACGAGAACATGACACAGATGTATGAGTTACCTTACCTATGTTGTCAAGGAGAAAAAGCGCCAGAGGCTATAGTTATCATAAACACCTTTGTGTATTGTAATTTAGTAAAGACAGAGATGCGCCTCTCCTTCTCTTCATGAGTTCCAATCAATATTCACCCTACTTCTGCGTGACTACGGTACGATGTGAACTGTAAAAAAAAAAAATTGTTTCTCGCTCAGCGATTGATCAAGACAAACCCTTCGCGCTTTCTGTTCCCAGTAGTACCATAATAGATTCCTGTTCTGGTTTCACTGTTCCAATTTTGCCCCTTTTTGCCTACGTGAGAAATGTGACAGCTCGCGACGAAAAGTGTGATTAGTCTGATACTTGATTGTCATGAACGAGATTCCCTTGTGGTATTGTTAGGAGCACAAGCATGATAAGCGTGTTCGGGCTTTGTCTCTGAGGAGTCGCACTTCTTGAAGTCTCCGACGCAGTCTTGCATCTTTAGGAGCATCCAACGGTAACAATGATGAAGGAAAGCCTCTCAAATCGCGAGACCTGCCCGATCCTTAGGATTGATGGGAAAGGAGCCTGAAGCCTTGCCAGCATTTCCCTGGAGGCACCTGCAAGTAAAGAATGCAGACGGTCACCATATGCGAATATTGTAGCTATTTTTTTCATACTCAACCTTCTATTCATCTGGAAATGATCTAGGTTACGAAGGAGACTATACACCTTTGTTTTTGACATTATTAAGAATGGCCATCTGAAATTCCAATTTCCACGAATCTCGTAACGCGACAGACACGATGCAAGGCAAAGAAACGTTTGTAACAGAACTTCTTACGCACCCTATAGGTCTAACATTTTATAACTTGTGATTCATGACAAAAAGGTGACTGTAAAGCAGTCGCCAAAGGGTGGAAGAAAATACCGGGTAGGCATGCCAGTAAATTAAAAAAAGAAGCTTGGTATAATGAGGAACAACTAAAAATATGGAAGTAACAGAATTGAATACTTGCAGACGATTCTTTAAATAGTGGAATCTCTTATTACGAGAAAGGTGTGGTCATAAATATTGAAGAAGAGCAGAAACGGTGAAGAAAATAAAAATAATTCCCATGAACAATTTTTTTTATAAGAGAGAATTCCGTGTAGAGGAGGGAGTATGCCGGTGGTGTTTGTCACGTTACCATGAACGAGTCGTGCACGACACGATGGACGGACATTATGGGTCAACATACAATAAACGAGCCGCAAGGGAATTGTTGGAGAGATCAAGAATGTCCGTTTCCGAGCTAAGTCTCGCCTGTACCTCTTGCATAAAGATTAATCATACTCTAAAATCGGTGAGGTGAGATATGGTAATTGGGAAGGCTGGCACTTTCTGGGATCCGTATGGGTGAAACTCGTGATGGAGATTGACAGAATACGTTTGGAAGGGGGCTGGAAGACGATTGGAAGGCAGATGTGTATCTCACAAGGAAAGGGGGAGAGATAAGATCGTGTCCTTGAGATTAGGAGGGGGTGGAGGGAATGGGTGTGTTGGGGGAGTGGCAAGGAAGGGTTTAAAAGCCATTGGGATTCTGGGAAGATTTCACAGAGCTTCCTCGGGTGCCTTCCTCGATCGTCTGTTCTTGGGTGAGTCCATTTTTGCATTGTTATGTTGTATAGTGATGGAAGTGTTCGGTCCAGTGATTTAATTCGAACCACCACTGGTAATGATGTGTTTTGATTCGTGCAGGTGAAAAACTGATTGGTGGAAGAAAACGGACTCTGATGCCGTGAGGCTGTCCCGTCTCCTTTATTGCCATCCTTGGTATATATATTTTAACACCTGAATCACAAGAAATGAATGGCCTGCACTGTATCCAGGAAGAATGTTCCCTAAATCTGCTCTTATTTACATCTGACGAAATCGGGAAAACTACCCTGGCCATCTCAACACTGGGCCCCGCTCAGATTTCTGTTTTTTGAGTCCTTTCGCAAGTCCTTTTCCCCATGGCCGCAAAAGTAATACTGGTAGGAATGGAATGGACTACGATAACTGAGGCTTGGGTCAGAGCGGCGGATAGACAGGCTAAAACGTCCGGTTCGCAATGTGTTAATTGGATTCCTCTGATACCGGGTACATTTTTCACGTCTTCATTTTGAGTTCTCCGAACATCAATCAATATAAAGGATGACTTTAGGCGTAATATCTCTAGCTTTGGTGTTATTTAGTTTCGAATGGTTTCCAAAATTCTTTCCTGCGAGATCTATAAAAAAGCCTTTTTTGATACGTAAGGAGTAGCAAATGTGAATAGAAATTTCTCTTCAATTTCTGTCTAATCGGAGGAAACGCCCGTTGTTGTCACGAACGATATTGTGAACTGTGCGCTGGAAAGCGAACTTCAATATTGCGAATACTCCTTAATTAATTAGCTCGAGAAGTACGCTTTGTATCCCCGTTTAACCCGATACCAAGGTTCCTCCTCCATAGTGAAATGAATGACAGATGACCTCTTTTGCCGCATATAGTGGAACACATCGGTTCTGTTTTCGCTGCTGTTTAGGTCTCTACTTCTCTTAGAAAGCATTGCAAAAGCTGCCATTAAAGGTTTTGCTGAAGAATATGCATCAAATAAAGAGTCCACTTTTCTCATTCGTTTCTATTCCTTGAAATCTGAGTACCTGAAACTGTTTCATCCTCCTTCGTGCAACTTTGCTTCACAGAGGGATGATTTTTCTCATTCTTTCAATCGCTTTAATCTTCAAAGAAGTGTACATACTTTTGTGGAGTCTAGTCGCTTAATTGATGCTTGGCGCGACTTTTATCCATCTGAACATTCTTTCACTTACACTGGTGCTGAAAGAAACCACCCACAGGCACGCTTAGATCGATTTTATGTGAACGGGATGATTTTAACTAAGGTAAAAATCCCATCCATCATTCCCTGTGATATGCTCTCTGATCATGCCATCATATGCATGTCTCTGCCCTCTCCCAGCTCTTCCTTCAAAGGTTTTGCCTTTTGGCATTTCAATAACTCATGAAGGACGAGGAGTATTAATGTTCTTTTCGCAACTTTTTCCATGGCCAATATAGCAATGTTGGAGACCGGTGGGAGATTGCAAAAGCTGCCATTGAAGGATTTGCTAAAGAATATACAGTACATCAAATAGAGTCCACATTTCTCATTCGTTTCTATTCCTTGAAATCTGAGTACCTGAAACGGTTTCATCCTCCTTCGCATTCTCTCTCCTTGAAAGAGACTGAATTAACTATTTATTCGGCAAATATCAACGAAGGAGCGTGGATTCGTTCCCGACTAGAAATGAACAAAGGAGTTCACCAGCCACTTAACATTCGTAACGACTCCAACGACATTTTACCTAATCCATCGTCTATATATTAAATGTCTCCTTTTTATAAGACACTACAGCCCGACTCCCGACTATATATTGAGTCACGCCTTGGTTCGTATTGGGAAAGTCCTGCGCCATTCATATTTTGGCGCGGAATAAGGCAGGGTGACCCTTGGTCCGGTCAACTCTACAACTGTTCTCTCGAACCATTTCTTCATTTGCTACGGCGTCTCCTGTTTATCATTGGACGTAATGTCATGGGAGTGCATAGTCCGCTGATGTCTCTATTTTCATTTCTTCTGACCTTGGTTTCAAAATTCTTACAAATTCGTACAAGCTCTATGCTAGAGCTACTGACTCGTTATTGTAACGTTACTCGTTACGGAAGACGCAAGGTCTATGGTGCGGGTCCTGGCGGACCAGGACAGATAATCCTGGAACTTTCCATTGGCATGACGATGGATGGAATTGCTAGGGGTTCACCTAGGCGTTCGTTCCTTCGAATTGAAAAGTTGGGATTTAATTGAAGTAAAAGTTAAATTATGCATGAACCAGTGGCGACACATTTTCAAATGATATAAATGATAAACTTTGGCACATTTTGGCATGTCTCGATCCACCTCCTGGCCAGTCTCTTTCGTACCTCAATATGGCCTTGCCCTGTCCCATGTCTTCTCAAAGTTTAATGTAGAGTTTCCCTTCCATCACCAAGGTCCTCTCATTAAAGAGTCTGTGCGGTTTTCTCCAATGCAGAAACCACCTTAACAGGATATCCTTCGTGTAAGAAGAAATTTAAGAAGGAGATATAAGTTGAAGGTTGCTGCATCAAAGTCTGTCTTCACCTCAATTAATAAAGATGACTAGCCAACCCGTGGAAGACTTCCACGAACTTCAAGTCGGGCTTTAGCCGGAGGTGTCAAACTGCCGGCAGGCCGGCCCGCTAGTAAATTTCGTCTGGCAGGCAAATTTCTCTTCAATACTTTATTTTGGAAAAGCATAGACATTTTCAACCCGTTAGCAATTGAAATTTTAGTGCAAATTTTGGTAATATGGATCCAACCACCCTGAAAGGTTCCATCCAGCCCCCAGCTAATCGAGTTTCACACTCCAAGCCTAGGCTAAACGTGTAGCATCTTCGGGAATTCACGACGAGATTAGTCAGCGGCCCTCTCAACTCTCTCTCCGATTGGTGCTTATATTGATAATAAAATCTATGTAGAGATTCGGCTTCTGCCTCACGTCTCAATTCCTGCCGATTCTCCGTCTCTTCATTTCTCTTTCTTCTGTCTGTTGTTACAATTACAGGTTTTCCCGCTACCTCATACATATACAGGGTGTCCGATATTTCAGGAATTATTGACTTTT